TCGGGCTGTGAAATTAAAGTCGTTTTGGTTTGCTTTTTTATTCTCCACATCCACTAATTTATTAAATGCCATTAAACGCTGTGCTTGGCCCTGGCTCATAGACAGCACTGGGGGTGCTGAGACCTAGTTGTTTGAAACTCTCCTGCAAAGCAAAGAGGGGGTGAGGTTGGTGGGGGGCAGGGGCCAGATTGGGGGGCTCTGCAGAGACACATGAGACCGTGGGAGTATTTGCCAGAGCTGGATGTGCTTGGGCAGGGTGAGCACAGGTGGAGTGGGTGGCTTCACAGGCAAATGAGGGGCCAAAGGGGTGAAGTCATGGAGAACTTGGGGTCGTAGGAGTGGAGAAGAGGGGCTGTGGGGCTTCCTTTTCAGGGAGATTTGTGTGTCTGGATCTTGTCCTATCCCTTGGCTGTGGCCTAGGTGCCCCTGCTCCTTCCTCGCTCCTTTCCTTCCTCACCTCCTCCCAGCAAATATTTGTGTCGTATCCAGCATGCTCTGGGAGAGAAATGGGGGAGACAGGCCTAAGGAAACCTGGTGTTTGATGTAAGGGGACAGCAACTGAACACAGAAGGCAGGCAGGCCCCTGACTTGCTGCTTTAGGTCCAGACTTGGCCCCAAGGGTCACCCCCAGGGAGGCTAATCCCACTTCAGGGGATACTGTAGGCAGCTGTGAAGGGACACAGGGGGGACTGTCCCTGAGCTGTAAGTAACATGCAAGTTGCAGGGCGGGGGGCAGACTCTCAAGAGAGGAGTTTGCTCTGCAGGGGAAATTATGGGCCTCACCCCCAGAGAAATGGAGTGCCTCCATGAAATATACATAAGGACACGTGGCAGAGACGTATTAAAACTACAAATCAGGATGATTCAAACTGAAGGTGAGGATTATCAGATTATTAGGCCAACTGCAAGACTTAATGCGATAAGGCTGGCATGTTTGTTCACTGCAAGGCCTTTGACCACTGGGCCTCAGTTTACCTGCTCTGCAGCTGTTGGCTGGACCCAGGGGTGATGAGAAAGATCAGCACCTCGTCCCTCTGCAGGGGCGGTGCAGGGCCTGATAAGAGGGAGCTCCAAAGGCATTGCTGAGGGTAGGACACTGTTCTAGGCTCTGAGGATTTGGCAGTGCACAAAGTAGACCCAGTCGTGGCCCTCCCAGAGATGGCGGACACCAGTGACAGCGGGGTAGGGACTCATTTTCTCAACTTTGACTGTGGATTTATTTGGAACCCTCAATTCAAAATGTTTAGAGATGTTCTCAGTTGTGGGAAGGTGGCAGGGGGTGAGGAGCGAGGGAGGCCCTTAGAGAGGGACTCCGGCCATGCCCAGACTACACTTGGGCAGCTGGTGACTTCAAGTCTGTGGGCGCTAACATTGTCTGGGTCCCGGTCCCCTGAGTCACCCTGCCTCGCCCCAGTCTCTTCCTGCCTTGGGTCATCTCAGCTGAGACAACTCTCTGCTTTTGGAAGGGAATTTTCCCGAGTGCCACTAGCTAAGCTCTCCAGTGCTGGGCTTTGGCTGTGCCACTGCAGGCCTTGCCTCCTTCCTGTGCTTGGCACCCTCTGCGTGGGCCAGTTCCTCCCTCTCCCAGACCTGCCTCGCCCTCCCTCTGGCCCTGCTCTGGCGTCAGAGGTCAGCGTCCTGACATCTTGGGCTCCTGCTCAGCGAACCTTTCCTGCTGTCAGCTCCTGCCCGCTGCCACCTACCACCGGCCTCTTCTCTGCTCTTCACTGCCAGCTCCTGGATGGCATCTGCTCAGCACTTTTCTCATCTCACATGTCATCCCTTTTGGGGTCAGGGTGCCGCCCCACCCTGGAGTGAACATATTACATCAGGCTCTTCTCTGGGGGGTAAGAGAGGGGACACCTGGCATTGGATGTGGCCAGACTAAGGTTCCTCAGCCAGTATTCCCATTTAGCGCCAGGTAATTCTATATTCTGGGGGCTGTTGTGGGCATGTAGGTGTCCAGCAGCATCCCTCCCCCATTTTCAAGTTGTGATGTCCTCTGGGGTCCAAAACTGCAACCCATGAGGACCCCTGGGCCAAGCCACTGTGTAATCCCCTGCCCTCTCCCCCAGGACGTAGAGATAGGTTACTTGTGGGGACTGTCTCACCTGTAGGCAGCAAGTTTTACCTGAGACTTAACCAGGGTGCTGGTGGAGACTCAGCCTTGAAGGGAGAAGGGGAGGAGAGGTCGGGACAGGGCCAAAAGCTCTACTTTCTTCAAATCAAAGAAAGTGGATGTGAAGTCAGAACCAGCTCTTGAGAGTGATGACGTGCTTGGCAGTTTCTGAACTATTGAGATGGTTCCAGATGGAGTCTCGACCTCTCAGCAACTCCCCCCACCTGCCCCCGTGGGAAATGGAGAGTGGAGGCAGAGTGGACCACCCCCAGCCCCCAGGCCTATGCCCAAGGAGAAATGGCTTCTGGAGAAAGCTATACTCAGGACTTTTCCAGGACCAGGGTCTGATACTTGCCAGGGGAAGGAAGAGGGGGTGTGTGTCTGCAGCTGCCAGGCGCTAGGGGCACCTCAGCTCCAGGGACCCCAGAGCCAGGTCTCTGTAACAGGTGCCTTTCTTTACCTGTAACGCATAACGTGGCAGCGGTGGATCTTCTTATTCATTCCTGGGTCTGGCTTTAAAGCCATAAATCTTCAGCATGAAGATCATGAGTTTCCGTGGTGTGATTAATGAAAGAAAAATTGAGACGGCAGCATAGAAACTGACCAGATTGAAGAAAGTCAGAATGAGGAGTTGGATGGAAGTTTCAGCCGCTCACTTGCACACCCAGAACTTCTGAACCGGCCTGGAGCGCCACCTAGTGGCGGCAAGGGTGGTGGCACCCATTTCCCCGGTGAACTTTGTAGACACCCCGTTGTGTGGGTGCTCTGGGCCCGAGTGTGCTGCACCTTGGGAGCCTCCCTAGTTCCACCAGGACTGGTCCAGGGGATACAGGAGGCAGGGGACCATCCGCCCAGTGTGGGGCACCCAGACAGCCCCTTCACTTACCATCCCCACACAACAGCTTGAACCGTTTCTAGTTTAGCAATGCAAGCCTGTATAATGGGGCATTCCCGACTCGCTGTGACTCCTGCGCCCGCTCTCCGGGTTGCTGCAGTGGTCCTGCTTGCTTCCCCTGCTTCCCCTTTGCCATCCAGTGGTCTGCTGTCAGCCAGAGTGATCTAATATCACACAATCATGTCACGCTGGCCCAGAGCTTCCCATCACACTAAGACCCCTCTCAGGCTTTCTTTCCCATGGCTGCCAGGTCCTGTCTAATCTGTGCCCTGCACCCTTCTGCTGGTCTCCTACAGCTGCCACCCTCTCCCTGCAGTCCCACGGGCAGCTTGTTCCTCCTTGGACAGACCCGGCTATTCCCACCTCAGGGCCTTTATACTTGCTGTTCTTTCTAGAACATTCTTCCTCTCACCCTCCAATATTTTTGTGATGTACTTCCCTCTTTACTTGGATCCCTATTTAAATGCCACCTTCCTCAGCAGCCTTGTCGGATAATTCTCTCCCAGGATGCTTTCTAGCTCCTTCCCACCTTTATTTTAATTCTGCCATATACCAGCACCTGAGCTTCTACGATCTGTTTGCTTCTGTCACATCTGCACCCCTTCTTCACAAGCGGGTCTTTGCCAGTGCCAGCCTGCCCCCAGCACTCAGAACAGAGCCTGGCATTTCCGAGGTGGTCGTTTGGGTGTGTGGCCTGAGTGCAGGAAGGACCTGCCATGTCTCCAGGCAACTCCTGTCCCTCCCCTGCCCTTCCTGTGTGCATGAACCATTCTCCTGGTCTTGGCTTGTACCTCTGGGTCTGCTCTGTGGAGCTAGAGCAGCTGGTGAGCAGGAATTCACTTGATTTGTTGGGGGTCTCAGCGCAGCTCCTTCCTGGAGCTCCCAGTCAGTGCCTGTGAAGAGCAGCACCTGGTCCTGCGCGTACTTGCTTTCATTTACATTCTCATAGGCCACAAGGCACAGGCGATGATATTCTCATTTGGCTTAAAAGGAGATTGCGAGTTCACACAACCAGGCCAGGCTGTGCCTCCCAAGTCCTTCTCCCCATCGTGGAACATTCTCTTCCTCCATCTGCTCCAAGTCCACCCATCTTTAGGGATTGCTTCCTCTAGCTGGCAGCTTGGGCCAGGACAGCATGCCTCCTGCAGACTTCTGACTCTATTTGGCGCTACTGTATACTGTCTAGGTACATGCTGCTTTTTATTGCTGCCATCCAGCCAAAGCAGAGGCCCCATGAAGGCAGGTCTCTGAAGTGGCTGTAGCTGCATGCTGTGGGTACTCAATAAATATCGGGTGACTAGTTGATGGGCCCCTCAGCCTCAGCAAACATCCCCTGAGCTGCCAGTGGGTGTGGGGGTGTCAGCTATATGGAGCATAAAGCCAAGCAGATGTGGCCATTTGCAGCCAGTGAAACCCAAACTTCCCTGTGAGGCCAGTGGCTCGTGGCCCCAGGATACTGCTGAGAAGGGGCGGTTTGGCCGGCTGCCGGCTTAGCTGGGTGGATGGGCAGACGGTGCCGGACAGGAGTGTCAGCCAGCCTCGGGGGTCCTTTTCTTCTCTCGGTGCAAAATTCATTCTTCACGCTCCTGAGAACAGCGGGAGGATGACCCTCTGGTCAGGACACCAGGCCGCAGTGGATGGAAGGTCTGGCTCTGAAAACAACTCAGATTTCCAGCCCCAGAAAGTCCCCATTCACACGCATCTGGGGCCTGCCACATTTGCTACTTGCTTTTCCGTGTCTAATTTGACCCTCAGAGGGACTCTGTGAGGTGCGTGGAGCTCTTATAACCTCGTTCAACACACAGGAGACTAGCGGGTTTGTGCAGCTCTCACACCCGCACGGAGTAGACAGGGACTGGTGGGTGTCGGGAGGGCGGGGGGCGCCACATCGCCCTGTCTGTCTCGCATGGGGACATGCAGATGCAGTCCCCAACTGGAGGGTGTGTGCAGGTACGATGCGGGCTAACGTCTTTCCTTCCTTTCCAGCTCTGTGGCTGCGGGCTGCTTGGAGTGGGCATCTGGCTGTCTGTGTCCCAAGGCAACTTTGCCACCTTCTCCCCCAGCTTCCCCTCGCTGTCTGCAGCCAACCTAGTCATCGCCATCGGCACCATTGTCATGGCGACGGGCTTCCTGGGCTGCCTGGGGGCCATCAAGGAAAACAAGTGCCTCCTCCTCAGTGTAAGTTGGACCCCTGTAACCCCAGCACCCCCAGTTCTTTCACCCTAACTTTGGGCCACTGAGACAGGCAAGGCCTGGGAGCATTGGCCCAGTGGTACTCAACCCTAAGCCCAGAGAAGTTGCTTCTAGAATGTTCTGTGCCTGATCACATCCCTCTTCTTTATGAATGGTTATCCCTGCCGCTGTTTGATTGGTGTTTTATTTTAACTGCCCTGCCTGCTGCCCCGCCAATCTGGGGATCCTCATGAGCAGGTGGCTTCCCCCATACCTTGTGCTAGGCACATGACCAGGTACTGCCTGCCACCCCCCCCATCCTTCTTGTTTACCCCCATCCCAGCCATGACTCTGCCACACACCCACGCCTGGGCCTTCTCTTCACAGTTTTTCATCGTCCTGTTGGCCATCCTCCTAGCAGAGCTGATCTTGCTTATCCTCTTCTTTGTCTACATGGACAAGGTAAGCCAGCCAGGAAGGGAGGGGGTGTGGCTTCATCGCCCTGCGGTGGGGCCTGGACAGGCAGAGGAGAGATCCTGACAGGTTGTGAGGAAAGGACAGGGGGACCCAGAAGGCCCAGGTGTCGGGTTTTGGTGGGGATCATGGGAGGGCGAGTTGGGGGCCTGGGGGGGTTCATCACGGTCTTAGGATGGGGGCTCCTCTACATTCCCGGGTGCAGTGCATAGTGAGCACCCATCAGGGCAGTGTCCATGCACTGCCGTGTGCACATGCAGCCAGCGTTCTGGTCTCACTACGTGGTGGGGCTGACTTGAGGGTCACCTGTTGGGGACACGGAGCACCTTCCCAGGTGAGGCTTTGCGGAGGGCTAACAGCAGAGGCGAGCTCCGTTCCCTTTTCCAAAGGCCTTTGAGAACAGGGCGGCTGCCCCCGGCTTGGCTGCACCTCCAGGGTCAGAAGGATGGTGGGGTGACCCTGCACCTCCCTGGGATGCACAGATCCCATTCAGACTGGAGAAACTTCTTGTTGGCACTACGAGGAATGACTGGCCAAGAGCTGTCTCCTAGGGTGTCAAAGGCTCAGTGGTGCTCTCTAGCCCCAAACCATGACCTTAAAGTGATTTCTCAGGCCACACAGAGAGGGAGAGTCATTGTTGGCATTAGAAACAATAGGTCTTGGGCCTCCCTGGTGGTGCAGCGGTTGAGCGCTGGGTTGTGAAGCTGCCCGCGGCCTCTGCAGCGCCGGTTCGATCCCCGGCTGCTCCCCGGCCACCGGAGGAGGGTCCCACATGGCGCGCAGACCTCTCCTGCCGCCCGCTGCTCCCCTCAGCAGTGTACTTCGCTCCTTCTGCCTGCTCTGCTCCCCGCTCTGGCTCTGGTGAATTCTCTCACCCTCCCGCGCTTCTGACTGTACCCAGTGCATGTATAAACAAAACAAACAAACAAACAAATAAATAAATAAAACATGCCTCTATAAATAAAAAAAAAAAAAAAAAAAGAAACAATAGGTCTTTTGTGTTTGTGAAACAGAAGAAATAATAACGGCCTCTTCCTGGCTCTTGATCTGACAGAGCCTTTCCTTCTCCCTGCCGAGCCCAAGTATCACTCATTATCCCAATAGCACAGATAAAGCAGAGGCGAGACCGCCAAGTTACTGGCTATGCGGGCCTAGAGTTCAATGACTGACCTGCTGCCTTTGGGACCCAGGGTGCACTTTGATGGGGACAGCCTGGGAGGAAGATGCTGTGGGCGTGGCGGCAGCGTGGTCATCATGACATGTGTGGCTGGGCTGGTGACCAGGGGAGCAGAGGCACCACCTGTCCCTGCCTCGGAGAATTACAGCCCTGACCCCGAACACTCAGCTCTCAAGGGAGTCAGAGAGTGTGCACTGCAGCTGGAGCTGGGAGCTGGCACCTACCTGCCCCCGGCACCTTACCCCCATGGGCTGCAGCCAGGGTCAGGGCGGGCCTTCCCCCATCTGGGACACCTGTGGCCAGCAGTCCTGGCTGACCCAAGTGGGCTGGGGAAGGAGCTGTGTCCGTCCTGGTCCCCACCCACTTGTCTGCCTCCCTTGACCTGACAGGTGAATGAGAATGCCAAGAAGGACCTGAAAGAAGGTCTGCTGCTGTACAACACCGAGAACAACGTGGGACTTAAGAACGCCTGGAACATCATCCAGGCCGAGGTGTGCTTGGGGACAGGGTGGCCTGGCCAGACTCTCCGCTCAGTGACTGAGCTGGGCCCCTGTGCTTTTTGGGTTTCTACCTGAGAGTGACTGGGTCCGACAGCCTGTGCACTCTAACTAGAGAGGGCTGGGGTGCATGCAGGCAGGCAGGCAGGACCCCACCCAAGAGTGGACAGGCCAGAGGGAGCCATGTGAATGGCTAAATGGGCACAGGGACCCAGAAGGATGGCTCAGAGAGAAGGGCAGATCACCCAAGCCCTTCCTTCCCGAAGCTTTAGCACAAATGACAGACTGTTTTAACAACAGATCAGCCTCCTTGACTAAGGCTCAGGGGGACACTGATTCTAAGAGCAAACAGACAGTAAGCCCAGATGCCCCACATCAAGCCCTGGGTAGCTTGGGCCGGTCCGCACAGCAGAAGCTGGAGGTGTCGCGGGTGAGCCCAGGACTGAGCCCCTGGCCATGTCCGGGGCGGGCTCCGAGGAGTGGGAGGCTTGGCTGCCCCCTGCGCTGACCTGTAGGAGCTGTCACACACTTCTGTGGGCACGGCTGAGGCCCACAGGAAGGACAGGAAGGCCCAGGGTGGCACTTTTTGTGGTTTGGGGCTGCCTGGACAGGGGATGACCTGGAGGGGACCGGGCTACAGCCTCTGACTTCCCTGCTCCTCCCTGCCCGCAGATGCACTGCTGTGGCGTCACTGACCACACCGACTGGTTCCCCGTGCTGGGGGAGAACACGGTCCCCGACCGCTGCTGCACGGAGAACTCCCAGGGCTGCGGGCGCAATACCACCACCCCGCTGTGGAGGACGGTGAGGCTGGAGGCCGTGGCTGGTGCTTCTCCCACGAGCTGCGAGCTGGACTGTCTGGCGAGAGGGCACCGTGGGAGGGTGGCACACCACGCCAAGGAACTGGCTTAATGTGGGGTGGGGGACACACAGGACTGAAGCCAAAATGCAGGTGGGAAATTAGGGGGGTGCTGGATCCACAGTTGGGAGGCGCAGAGGGTGGGGACTGAATGCTTCTGAGTGCAGTGGGGCTGGCCTCAGAGGGAGGAGGGGCAGGTCTGAGGGTCGTGGAGGGACCCAGGATGGGGTCCTGGCAAGGGGAAGTGAGAGGGGAGGGTCAGACAGGGGGCTGGGCAGGAGGGGCCCTCACAGTCAGGCCAGGGCCTTGACCTTGCGGTCCTCACTCCCCAGGGCTGCTATGAGAAGGTGAAGATGTGGTTCGACGACAACAAGCATGTGCTTGGCACCGTGGGGATGTGCATCCTTATCATGCAGGTAGGAGGGCCGCGGCGCCAGAGGGAAGTTAAGGCACTGGCCCCGGCACCTGGGGCAGGCATGTTGCTGTTGGACGTGGCTCGGGCCTTCCCTTCCACGGCCCTTCCCTGCGCACCCCGAGGCTTCCGCAGCATCCCTTCCGCGCCCTGGCTGCTGGTGTCCCGCCGCCCACGTCCCCGGCGAGTCTCGTCTATCTAAGGGCTTTGAAGCTTAGCAGACGGGCCTGCTGCCATTTTCCCAGCGCTCTGAGGAGAGCAAGACTATTCCGTAGCCAGGCTGGGAACAGGCTCACCAGCCACCGTCTCTCCTCCAGTTTCACCAAACCTGGAGCCGCGAGAGTCACACGGCCTCACAGTGTGTGCCTGGGGGGGCCTGTGTGGGGACCGCTTGGCTGCCGCCTGCCCCCTGCCTGTCCGGGGTCACCGTCTGCTCTCAGGCCCCGTGGCCCATCCCTGCACGCAGCTTCTGACCCAGGCCCTTTCTCTCCCGCACCCCGTCTTTCAGATTCTGGGCATGGCTTTCTCCATGACCCTCTTCCAGCACATCCACCGGACGGGTAAAAAGTATGATGCCTGAGCAGGCGGGCAGCAGGCGGGCAGGCGGAGCGCCCCAGACCATGCGGACACTGTGCCAGGGAAGAAGATTCCAGCTTTGTGTTGCCTGCCCACACTCTCCAGACTGCTGACCCCTGCACCCCTGCCCCGGCCCCACCCCCTCTGCCAGGGAGAAGGCAGGAGGTATGCAGAGACCTTGGGGTGCTGGGGGCACCTGGATTCTTACATCTGTGTATTTGCCAAAGAAGACAGCGTGGGCCGGGGACGCGCACCAGGAGGCCCTGCCGGCTCTGATGTGTTTCTGCCCCCGCCCTTCCTCACACTGACGCTTTGTCCCCCGAGGGGCGGGGGCGGAGTGCGCCCCTCCTGGCGAGAGACCCAGCGAGGCCCCCCAGGCCGTCCGCCCCGTGGGAGACGGGGAGAGCTGGTGGTCACGTCGGGGCTCTCCCTGCCTCCCGCAAGGCCCCTGGGTGCGTCTAGCCCAGGCTTTTTATACCTTACAGTGTAACTTTTTTATTTTATTTTACTCTGATTATGATTATTCAGGAATATTATCTCTCAGATAAGTTTAGGGTTAGTGCTCTGATTTATGACTTTTTACTGTGTTGATTTCTGTAACGGTTTGATTTTTTTCCAAGGGTGGGGGGTGAGTGGGGAGAGGGTCACCTGTCTGGAGTGGATCAGGAAAACCGTGTGCAGCACTCAGGGGGCTCTGGGGAGCGCCCAGACTCAGCTCAGGGCTCACTGCGCGGGAGGCCGCGAGCAGCTGGGCTGGGGTGGAGTCTGGGGCGCGGGAGCCTGGACAGGCAGGTGAAAGGAGGGTGTGGGCTGCCTGGCAGGATGCCTGTGCCAACCCGGGGGTCCCCAGAGGCTGGCCACATGCTTTGCAGGAGCCCGGCCATTGCTGTGCTGGGTCCTCACTCCACTGATGAGCAGTTTCTCCGTTTCTCTTCTGCTGTCCTCCTGCCCTCTGCTGGCACAGAACGGGGCTCCCCTTCCACCCCACACAGGCGTTCCTGCCACAGGTTCTGCAAACCCCAGTTACCTTCAGACATTCCTGCTAGAAACTTTCAGACAAATACCTCTCTAGTTTGGATGCTCAGTTCCTCACATTGCTTCTGGAAGGGGAAGCCATTCCTCGACTTTGCTGCTGAGACAGTGACTGAGGACCGTGGCCGGCAGGAGGGGAAGGGGCGCGGATGGCATGTTCCCTCCAGCCAGAGTCACATGCTGGCTTCCTGCTGGAGGCGGCAAATGGTTTCCGCCAGGGGTTCAGATTCCTGGGGGCTCCTGGATGGTGGTTGGGTGGGGGTTATGTCCTCTGTAACCCTAAGGAGAAGAAAACCCGAGAAGGATCAGCCTGGATCTTATTACAACACCCCCAGCACAAAGCAGACTGATTCTTGACTTGGGAGACAACAGGCTGGCGGGGGTTACAGCTGCAGCAGCCCCCCGAGAATGTCCCCTGGGCGGGTTGAATGTTTTGTCGTTAAGAAAAAAGAGTCCACAGGATTGAGTTTGGAAAAGTTACCCACTGACTGGCTAGATGCTGGTGCACATCCCTGATGGGGCCTTGTGTGTGTGTGTGTGGGGGGTGGGGGCTGCCTTCTCCCGCCCCATTTGATTGGTTGCCTTGATTTCCCCACTGGGCCCAGGCCCTCTCTGCAGCCTCCACCTGCCTGTCGTCTCAAGACCTCAGGGCCAGCTGCCCAGCCAGCGGCTCCACTCGCCTCTAGGTCAAATACAGTGGGACCGGGAGTGCAGATCTTCGGGTGTGTTCAGGGTCACACTGCGGGTCCGGGGCGGGTGCTGGAGAGTGGAGAGGGGCGTGGTCTCAGGGAATAGGGCAGAGCAAAGACCCCCTCCCTGGGAGAGGAGCGGAGGGGCTAATGGCAAAGTGGGAAGGGGGTGGGGGGTCCTTCGGGGGAGGATGGGCGAGCACACGCTGAGAGGAGCTGCCTTCCCGGGTCCTCTGGCCCTACTTCTTGGTGAGGAGCCCGCCTCCCGGGAACCCCAGGCTGCGGAGTGTGGAGCAGACCCGCCCCAGCGGAGAGACACTCGCGCGCACACACGTCCTGTGGCACGGCAGGGCGGGGTGCATCCTGAGTGTGTGCTGGGGTGAGGGTGGGCGGGTTTGTTTATGCCTATCAATGCAATTTCTAATTTTTGTTAAAATCAACAGCAAACGTCTAGCACATTGTGGGGTGTATAGCCTCCCTGGAAATCTTACATTTCTAGAACTTCAGGGGCATCCTCTGGCCCTGGAGCCTTTGCCACAGCCCCCGTCTCTTCCCCCAGCCACCACGTCGTCTGTCTATTTGCAGAACCTTGTCCACGCTTCCCAAAACTGCCTTCTGGCCTCACCCTGTGCCCGGATGATCAGTCTTTCGCCAACCAGCACTGGGTGGAAGTCCGGGTGCACGGGGTGGGGATCTTTCCAAGCCCCTTGCCCGTCCTGCAGAGCCCTCCCCACACCACACGGAAGGTCACACTGTGCGATGTCAGTGACGGTGGCCCAGTGTCCTCTGGTTCTCCTGCCCATGTCCGCATTGGGCAGAATTAACTGAGTGACTTCCACGTGTTCTTCCCTTGCCACAGCCAGAGCTCCTCCAGGCCGGTCTGCCAGGCAGTTTACAGACTGGCTGAGAAGGTCAAGGTTTTGTAGACTTCAAGGGGAAGCCTGCCGTAGACTCTGCAGCCCTGTTACCAAAAGGTGGTGAGCAGAGGCTGAGACTACCCTTGGGGGCCTGCAGCAGGTGTTGGGGTATAAGTCTCCATCTGTGTCCCCCAAAGGGAGGGCTGTCTCTCTCCTGCCAACATGGGTCTGTCTCTTGGGCTGTCACTCTGGAAGGGGTGCCGAGCCCACCCAGACAGGTGTTCTGGTGGGTCTGGGGCCCAAGTGGCTGTCCCTCTGTGCTTTCGGGGCCAAAAAGCAGTCCAGGTGGATGGAAGTGACTGTCCCCTCCTCTCTGGCCCCCTGCCCACCCACTGGTGGAGGTGCTAACTAGCAGGGACCTGGCACAGGATGGGAGCTGGGTTCCAGGTGCTGGGGTCCACTCTTCATCCCTTGCCCTTCAGTGTCCCTGCTCTCCCGCTTCCCTCCCCAATGGGTGGACGTCCACGGCGGGTCCTGGCCCCTGCCCTGCCCGGGCATTCCGAGGGGGAGGCTTTGGGGCTCATGCCTGCGTGCTGCCCACCCCAGGGGCAGCGTGCAGAGCGGGAGAGCACGCTTGTTGGTTTCGATGCACTTTCTGCTTGCAATGCCGTATCTGTGCGTTTCCTTCATCCTGGTCCTGGCTTTATTGAACGCCAAGTTTTTAGCATGTTTTTAAATAAAACCTGATAACGTGTCAAAAGCACAGGCAGGCTGGCTCTTCGTGTTTCTGTGTCTTATTTCATGCAGTGGCTGGTGTGGGATCCGGAGGGGTCAGGCGCAAGCCCTGCCCTTTGTCCAGGTCACGCCCCCGCAGCAAGGACCTCATCTCCCCCTCCCGAGCCCAGAGGGTGCTGTCCTCTCTTGCGGGTGCAGGAGGGTGGCGCACACTCCCTTTCTGGTGACCTCATGCAGACTTGGTCAGGGCCAGTCCCAGTGGCCCGAGTCTCTGTGCAAGAAGCCGAGACTCCCACACGGTTTCTGTCACCCCCACAGATGGCCAGTCTCGGGGGAGGAAGGAGGGCCTCCTTCCTGGCTTCCTGCGGGGGAGGGGCTGGCAGCGCAGTCTCTCTCCCATCCTCTGCTGTTCCTGGGGCTCCTGTTGAGGGAGGGGACCTCACAGGGTGACTTGCCTGGCCTGGACCGTCTTAGGAAAGCTCTGAGGTGGTTTCAAAGAGCAGAAACACCAAGTCATGAGGTGATGTTGGGGGCGCGGGGGGCCCTTACAGCCGTTGAGCCGCGGACATGGCTGTGCCTGGCTGCACAAGTCTTCCTCGGTTGAGGTTCTGGTTTGTGGGTTTTCCTTGGCTGTGGGGTCACAGTGACAAGTTGCAGATGAGAGAAGCCAGAGGTCCCCTGGCTCCGGGCCAGTGCTGTGCTGTGCGCACCCCTCTGGGGCAGGGTGAGGAGGTTAGAGGTCAGCTAAGCCCCTCCATGTGCGGGGGTCTGTCTCCCTCCCTCTCCTCAAGAGAGTAGCCAGGTTGGCCCAGAATTGCCCCAAAGCACTAACCTCTGGGACCTCATCCTGCAGGTACTGTGTCCTAAGTCTCCACAGATCCGCTGAGGGTGGAGGGGCATGAGGGGCCCTCTGTCCAATGTCCAGGCAGAATAGGGTCCCGGGAGATTTCCCAGAGGGTCCTCGTGGCTGTGGGGTTAGGACTTGGTCGGGGCGAAGAGGAGGTGACCCCCATCACACATTCAGGACCAACCAAGTCAGGGAAGGCAGGAGGGAGCCACTTCCTCTCTGACCCCTGACTGGCACTTCTGCCCCGGCCTGTGGATGCCTGGCGGCCTGTGCTGCCTGCGCCCGGGGCAGAGCGAGGTCCGTGAGCACTGGGCTCTGGTGAGCCGCGCTGTGCCCGAGAGGCAGCGAGCGCCTGGCCGGGCAGGAGAGGTGCTTATCGGGACAGCGGGCGGCTTTTCTCCCTGGGGACTCCTGATGGCTCGGCAAGGGCTTCTGGGACGGGTTCTCTAGTTCATGAGAGGGGGTGGCTGAGCTGGCCCTGGGGGCCCCTCGCTTGCTTCCTCAGTCCCGTGCGATGTGGGAGAGTTACCTCCCCACCCCCCGCTGGTGTTCGGCAAAGACCAAGCGAGAAAGCAGCCAAGCTGACTTTGCACCCACATGAGAACTCCCCCTGGGTGTGCAGAGATGAGACATTTATTGACTCAGTTCAGTTCAGCGTGTTGGTGCCAAGCAGCGAGAACACAGGGGGCAAGCTCCTGCCCCAGCCCTGGCTCACGGGCCAGCAATCCAGTGGGGGCCATGGAGGAGTGAACGTGATGGGTACTCAGAGCCACGACAGCAGCTGCCCAGGGTGGGCCAGGCACCAGCCACACCTTGGGGAGCGCGAGGCACCCCGATCGAGGTGATGTGGAGGCCGAGAGCTGGCGTCATTGGTGCTGTGCCTGAGAGAGGGGCGATCACCTGCTCACACCTGGAGAGCCAGGTAAGAGTCTGCACGTCACGCTGAGGGATTAAGTCGGCGTCCACTGCTGGCAGCTGGAAGGCTGGCTCGGTCCTGCCCTTGGGCAGCCTTACCCTGGCTGCAGTGTGGACAAGGGTGGGAGGGGACAGCGTGGGTGCAGGGACAGGTAGTCATCTGGGAGGCTGCTGCGGTGATTTAGGAGAGAGATGCAGTTCGCAGGCCAACATCAGTGGGATGGAGACAAAGCGACAGATTTGAGAGACGCAGGAGGATTGACCAACTTGGTGATTAATTAGATTGATTGGAAGAGGAGGAACAGTCTCGCCATGCATCCAGCGTGACGCCCTGGCCTGGGCAGGGGCATGACTGACTGTTGCATTGAATGGATGGGTGAGTGTATTTTCTGGGCTCAGTGCTCATTTTCTGGAGGTGTGCGGGGGCCACATGGCGTCATTAAATCTCTCCTTTTGTTAGCATTGAACTTCACAGCTTGCAAAATGCTTTCCAATGCATTACCGAGGATCCTCCTGCCACAGCTATTTTCGAGGCTGTCACTGTGTCTGAACTTTCCCATGTCGAGGTGCGCCACACCCGGGAGGAATGGACGCTGGACTGTGAGCTGGAGGGGCTGAAGTCAGCCTCCCCTCTGCATTTGTGTCCTCAAGAGCCGCGGGGGGTGTTTGAACTTGTCACAGATCTGTTATGGGCCCCACGAGGATAATAGCTAGTTTACAGATTTGCTGGGAGGCTGACATCAAGCATACATGGAAAGAGATGCAGCTGCTTCTTGGAGATGAGTAGGTTTTGAGGGCGAAATTGGTCAAATCTGAGTTCTCAGGATCCCCAAACTAGAGGTGGCACCCCAAGGAAAATGATCCCACAGGGTTGAAAGCTGGGAGCACAGGAGAGAGAACTGGAAAGGGGAGTTACTATATGGGGGGGTGTGGACTTGGTGGGCAGCTTCCCCCACACCTCAGTTTTGCTCTGGGCTGACTCAGTAGCAGCTTTCAATAATCCACAGAAGCAAGAGGGAAGTCAGAAGAAATGAATGTCATTGTAGACACAAAAATATCGGCATTGCAACGGTGCCTTCTTTAAGCATCCAGGAACGATTGGGAGGCTATTGATTTAGCCATCTCGTTTTTGCTGAGTTTAACGCCAGCGTGGAGATGAACTACGTGTCTCCTTAAGCTAATGACAAGAACGACAACTCCGCACAGGGTACTCTCGGCCCAGGCTCTCCAGCGTGGGGCTGTCTGCTGGGATCTCACCTTTGTGGCCCTAGAACCTGACTGAGAACCAGGTGGAGCCAGCTTGGGGCATTGCCCAACCCCCCTTGGTGAGTCTTAGTGCAAAGGAGAGGAAACTGGCATAACAGGGCTGCACGCTGGGCCATGGCTGGGACTCTAGTGAATGAAATGGGGTCAGAGTTTTGGGTGACTTCCTCTTAGCTCTGTGCGGCCCAGACCCTCAGTAGTCTGTTTGCACGGGGCTCAGGAAGTGTCGCACTCTGGACTTGGGGGCGTGCACAAATGAGCTGGCCAGGGAGAGAAGCACCATCGCTCCAGGGGGAGATGTTATGGGGGGGTGCAGACAGCAGAGCGAGTGTGTGTCTTAGCTTGACAAGCCTGGCTGGGTGCCCAGTGGCCAGTCAGGAGACCCCTTGTTCCTGGCTACCCACCACCCCACAGGCAGGGGGATGCCTGTGGCAGGAGGAGCCAACTCCAGGCTCACTCTGGGGCTGGCTGTGCATCACCACGAGTGGCGCAGGATGTCGCAGATCAAAGGCAGAAAGGTCTCGGGGAACACAACCCAAGCCCGCTTGCTGGAGCCCGGCTCTCGCCTGCAGCCTGGAGCTAAGGACATGCATGGGCAGGCGAGGTCAGGTCTAACAGATCAATGGTGGGAGCTGACAAGAGTCAGCAGGACCCTTGTGGGTTTCCTAATGGGGCCCCTCCCTTCCTTCCCCATGACACACATCTGCTTTGGCGTGTAGCGGGAGGACCAACACGATGGATGAGCAGATGGCCTGGAATTCCCTTGCAGTGGAGAAAAAACAGCAACCAAAGGTCGATCCAGTTCCTTTATTATCCGGTTCCTTTATTATCATGTGAGGCTGGGCTTGCACTGAGGCCAGCTAGGAGAAGGGTATGTTTACAACTCGAGCAATTTCCCATATGCAGTGGGTTAAGGCAACTTCTCTGTTTCTAGAATATTGTGATGACCCGTAGCCACGGGCCAGCTGGTTCCAGGAGCCCATCTGGCCTCGTGAATGCCTGGCATGACTAGTGGCACCAGCAGGGGGTGTGCCAGTGCATAGACGGTAGGGCCAGGGAGCACTGGAGGCTGAGGGATGAAGCACAGGGGGGAGCATTGGGCTGAAATAGAGCATGGAGGTGATGGGGGAGGTGGGGCCCTGGGGGTGGGTGGGAAGGAAGCCCAAAGCACCAGAAGGTGGTGCGAAAATGGGGCTGGGAGTGTCACTTGTCCCCTTCCGGGAGAGGACCTGGCACCTGCTCTCCCAGCTAAGGCTACAGGGGCAGGGACAAGCAGCTGGGCAGCAGTGGCCCCTTCCAGGGGGCGGTATAGCCCCAGCAAACCTTCCACCTCACCCTCTCACTGTGAACCCTGCAGGGCTGCTGCTGGACATCCCGAGAGATTTTAGAAACTTGGGGGCTGGATAAACAAAGGTGGGTGGCAAAGCATGCCCCTTTGTGGCCTGGGCTACAGTGATTCTCAAAGTGTGGTTCCAGGGCCAGCAGCATCAACAATACCCGGGAACTTGCTAGAAGTGCAAATTCTGGGCCCTCCCCCTACTGATGGGAAACGCTGAGGGTGGAGCCCAAGCCAGCTCTTAAAAAGCCCTCCAGGGAGCCCTGATGCCTGCTCAGGATTGAGAGAACTCAGTTCAGACACCCGGTCACTAGCATCTTGGCGGGCGTGAGCGCCACCCAGCGGTGATTCAAAGGGGGCCGAGCAGCCAGTGAGTCCAGAATGTTCCCAAGGCCCAGTGTGATGGGTAGGGGCAAGGGAACTGCCAGTCCATTCCCTCTACCTCACCTTCCGCGGGGACTAGGAGTGGCGGGTTCCATGACCGAAGCTGGCCATGGGACATGGAGCAACAGGGGCATATCACACTGGGATGTCCCCTCTCAGGGCCCTAGAGTGGCCACAAGCTCCCGGGACAGCGCACTGTGCCCACTCAGGATGCCACATAGGGGAGAGGGAGTGGGCAGGAGGTGGCCAGGGCACCTCGTCCTTCCAGGGTGGCTGTGTGTGCAAATGGCCCCAGTATCAGCAGGGAGGGCCTTTGCTGCTCTCTTGCCAGCCCCCCGTGTCCCTGACAAGGGACCCCGCACGGGCAGGGATTGCACGAGCTGTCTGAGGATTCTGATCGCTGCAGCCTGGCCTGCTCTTGCTTTGGTGTCAGCATGGCCACCTGAGGTGACAGGTCTGCCATTCCCATGAGCGATGCGCCTCACCCCACGCCACTTCCGCCTGCTGCCTGGGCTGCTCCGAGGGGTCTGAATGCTCTGCAAATGTGCAGGGTGCTGGTCCTGGCACCAGATCATGGTTCCGTCCAACCCGGGAGGGGGTGCTGAGGCTGCTGCTATTCCACAGTGTCCCTACTGTCCACCCAGGCACCATGAGGAGAGAGGGCTCCCAGCCCAGCCCCCTGGGTTCCATGGGTTGGGGGGACATGACAATAGTCATTTCTCCCGACTGGCAACTCTCGACTTCTCTGAACCTTCATCTCCTCCTCTGTGGAATGGGGGAAAGGATACCCTCTCGCTGGGGTTGCTAGATTTATGTGACCTTCTTGGCGCACAGTAGGCCTTCAGTAAATACACGGCCCTGGCCTTGCTTAGATAACAGAGGAACGCCTCTAGCGGCTGGGAAGTTAGAGTTCCAGGTGGGCGCTGGGAGGTGTGGAAGCCTGGTGTGCGGGTCTCATGTTACCAGCTGCTGTTGGAACAGCCCTTTCGAAGGGCTCCCTGCTGCCCTCTTACCAGTTGATACCTGCGGGCTGGAAAACTGCTGACATCTATATGCTCCTTTCCAGGATGTTCTGTTCTCCCTTAGAATTTGGGAAAGTTCTTGAAAATTCCTTGCCTATTTCAGATATGCAAGACAGAACCAAAGGAAGGGGCTGTATTCACTCTGGGAAGCAGAGGAGACCCCTGGAGGGGCCAGGTGGTCAGAGCATGTGGGTGCAGGGAAAGTGAGATTCAGGGCAGAGCACCCCTCTGGGAGTCTCACCTCTGCAGTGACTCCAACTGGGCGGGGTCTCTGATTTGGTCTAATCAGGAAGGGTTTTACTCCCACTGACATTAAGAAATGGTTTTAAAAACCTGGCAATCCAGAGAATCAGGCAGTGGCTCTCGGGAGATCCCATAGGAGCATATTATGGAAGCTGGGGCTTGGGGTGATGGTCCTCCAGGGGTGCTTTCTTGGGGAGGGCCTCCAGGCAGGGCACAGGTTCCAGGCGCAGCCTGCACTGGTGAAGCCAACGTATCCCACCCTGCTCCCTGCCTGGGCAACTCCCCCCAGCTAACCCCTGCCGGCCCAGCTCCTATCGCCTCGCCTCCTGCCCCTCCACTTCCAGGCCTGCAGGAAGGAACCAGGTCATCCAGACACTCCTTTCCAAGAGGGAAGGGGTGGGAGGTGGGCACATCAAAGAGCAGGGTCTTCTGGGGGCCAACCCTAATGCACCCTGATGCACATCCCAGGGGGCAGAGCAAAGCTTGCGGCATAGGCCAGAGGAAGGCTGCTCACACAGGCCGGGGGTCATGTGTCAAGGCGGGTGTCCCAGAGGGGTCAGGTTTGCAGCCCGCTGTTCTAGGTGCAGGAGCTGGGGAGGAGCTGAGTGCAGCTCTCATCCGCGTGTGGTCCACGGGAGCCCTGTGCCAGGTGCGGGCTCTGGCATTGCCTCTAGGCAGGAGGGTGCCCGCCTCGGCTCTGGCAGTGAACACTCGGAAGGGAGGAAGGGGCTGCGCGCTGCTGGTCTGTGTGGGAACATGGAAGCCACAGTCTCAGACACTTGGTGGATCCCAAGGGCCTGGGCACAGATAAGGAGGGCGTTTCTGGGCGTCTCTGGGCAAGCTGATGCTGACTTCTCAGGCCTGGTGCCTGTCCTTGCGAGGGGCAGCCACAGGGGGGCGCGGTTGGCCACTAGTAACAATGCAGCTGGAGCCTCCGGTGCAAGCAGCAGGTGAGAACCATCCCGCAGATCTGCCAGGTGAGAGAGCGGAGGAGCAAAGAGCAAATCAGATTCCCAGGAAGCTGCAGCCACCGTGCACCACTGGGGACCTTGGTAGCCCTTCTGGTAGGTCTGGGATGAGGCCGAGGATTCTGCATTTCCAAACAGCTCTAGCCCATGCAGCTGGTCTGAGGTCAGGGCCTCTCCAGAGCTAGCCCATGTGACTCATGAGCTCTCAGGATTCCCCCCACGTTAGAGCTGCGTATGCTTTTCTTCTCTCCAGGAAAGAGTGCCTACAGCTTGCTACGCAGACTCCGGAACTAAACCAAGGTCCACAGTGATTCTATGGCTGGTGTACAGAGGCCCCCAGGGAAACAGGCTCTGGGAGGGGCCCGAGGCACCGTCACCTCCTGGGAATGTGGCACCACACCAGTCCCCCAGAGCGTGCCTGTGAGTCTGGCTGTCACCTCCACCTGCTGATAAGGAAAGGGCTAGAACACTCCGCCTGAGCAGGGCCGAGCAGGGCCATCCCTTTCCCCAGGCCCTACTTCTCCCATTTCTAAGATGCAGAGAATCTGTATTTCCCCAGCTTGTTCTTCACTAGCCCCCACTTTATCCACCTCTTCCTCTCCCCTTTTTGCATGGGGCAAAGGGGTGAGCATGTGTCAGACATGAGGCCCAAGACATGATTGTGACTCTGGGTAATGATGCTGTTGAGTCCTGGCTCCCTGCCCCCAGGAGAGGGGGCCCCGCGAGGGCAGTCCTGGCAGTCCTGTGCACACGGGGTGAAGGTGGATTTCCCCAAATACAGGAGACAGTGCTTGTCTTTTCCAACAGCTGTCGCTGACTGGGTCTTCCAGAGCCTATCTGGTCGCACCCGGAAGGCAGGCAGGTTGGGGAGGTGGCTGCAGGCCGGACACACGTTTCTCTCTGCAAGGGTAACTTCGGGAGGTAGCCGAGGACAAGCCCTCCTCTCCCTTCCTTCCCACACGGGAGGACGCTGGCCTGTGAGTCCAGACTTGGTGCTAAGAGCAGAACCCAGAGGTGAAGCTCAAAGGCCCTGAGAGTTTTCCTGTCTCCCTCTGGCTGCAAGCAGGGGGCCATCACTGCCGCTCCACCCATGTGCCATGCAGCCTGCCTCTGCCCTGTCCCTAACTCATGGCTTGACGATTTGCACTGGGGGTCATCTGGATCTCTCTGGTCCTTGCTAGGGGGGAGGCAAGATGGGAGCAGCTGGGACAGCATAGACTTGTGTCCACCTCTCCTGTTGTACGTCCCCAGCAGGGGGAGGGTTAGGAGGGCTGAGCTCTCCAGCATATTCACCTTAATATAAAAAGTGTGTTCCCAGGGCGCCGCCCAGGGAAGGCAGTGAGGGTGGAGGTGTGCAAGTCAGAGTCTCAACGTGTGTCCACATATGCACACTCCAACGATGCATGCAAAGTGATACAGGATGCATTCACAATGTATGTGCATATGTACACACTCAAGGGCACACACATGCACACATTGCACCTGATGCATGCAATGATAAAGGATGCACACATCTGTGTTCATAGGTACACACATGCACACACACACGCTGTACCTGATGCACGCAAAGGATAAAGGATGTACTCAGAAAGTGTGCACTTGTGCACACTCATGTGCACACACACACAGACACCTGACTCATGCAGTGGGGTGAAGGATGCTAACTCCAGTTCCCTGTGCACCAGCGCCTTGTTGCTGACAGGACAGAGGAATGAGCTCAGATGGCTTTGAGCAGCCAGCACAGGGTGAGCAGAGAAACCAAACAGGTTGATGCAGAAGCAGGAGATGGTGGAGGTCGGAGAGGCTGACAGGGCCCAGTCAGCATGGGTCAGGATGCATGGGGGCATGGCGCCCCCTTTTGGCAGCCTACCTTAGATGCAGCATGTGCTGCTCACATATTTTGGCTGCTGTTGGTTTTTGTTTTGTTTAACTGGGAGGCTGGTATGCTCTCAGTTTCTTTTGAGGTGTCTGAGCTAGCATCTGGCTGTCTTCAAGAATGATAAAGAAGGGCCAGGGAAGCCCCAGGAATTCACTCCAAAGTGATCTTTGAGGTTCCTGCTTAATCTCAGGCGGCTTGTGAATTTTCTGGGCACTGCAACATGTTTTGGTCCCACAGTGTGGGGATGTCAGGGCAGAAATGGGAGTGGACTAGCTTCCATCTGGGGCTGTGTGGCCTTGGGCAGTTACCCCCCTCTCTGAGTCTCACATCCCCCTCTGTTGATGGGAAAACCTCTTTTTCATTTGCTGGTCCAGAGCCTTTCCTGGTGAGTCTTTAAAATCCAGGATGCCAGGGCCAACACACCAGGACTGGGGTGGATGGCGTGGCATCTCCTGCTCCCCTGCTCTCCACGACTTCTCCCAGTGCAACCCCAGGTCACCCAGTGCAACCCCAGGCTGTGTGAGCAACCGCTATCATCTGACTCCAGGCAGGTGCCCTTGCTCTGTGGTATACCCTTGATTTTTCTTCAAAATTGAATGCAAGGACTTAACACCATGGCAGTTTCCACCTTCATTTCAGCCCCTCTTTCCCATCCACCAAGCTCTTTTACAATCCTGGTTCTATCAGTCAATAGACCTGCGATCCCTGCAGATCTGGCCAGTTATCAGAGTTCATTAGAATGCTTCCAGGGTCTTCACAGAGATCACAGAGGAAAATGTTAAAGAACCAGATCTGAGGCTGGAAGCCACTTCTAGACATTGTTCACCAGGCTGATGAACTCTTCTCCTGCTTGCATGGAGGTCGTCCAGCCCCCTCAAGCTCTCCTGAGCACCTCAGGGCCTGGCCTACTCATTCAGGAGGCAACAAGCACATTGACAAACACTTGGCGGAAATGAGGGCTGGTTACGTTCACTGCCTTTTCTGCTTGGATTTCAGTGTTCATAAGGCATCTGCTTTATCGTACCAGAATGTTGCAACACATCAGTCTCATTGGGGCGAGCCCCTTACTAACATCTCAGGGAGCTTCAGGGCGAGAAGGTTTCTAAGGTCGCCACGTGAGGCTTGCCTCCAGCCCCTACTCTTGATTCGATCTAGAACAGCTCCCAGTACATTTAGGGTGCTGGGCTCCATTAATAAGACGCTGGTGCTGTTTAAAAAGGCTCGAGAACATTCAACTGCTCCATTGTACAGGGCAGGGAACTGAGGCTCAGAGAGGGACAGTGATTTCCCCAAGGTCACCAGGAAGAGGTAGAACTATTTCTAGATTCTTCCAGGGAAAATTTCCTCCACTTCCTGGGGAATATGTAAACCTGATGGCATCATCATGGGCTTATATCTCCGGGCCCCTGAGGGTCTTCCAAGTGCCAGGTTGGGTGTACGTGGGGAAGGTGCCTGTTCCTGCCTGAGGGTGGCTACGAGCCACCAGCACTTGGGTAGTTTAACTCAGCATTGGCCGGCAGAGGGAGCTCTCACCCGAGGCTTGGCTCTGCAAGGCTGGCCTCAGAGGACTGGAGGGGAGAAGATGGGCTGGGCTACACAGCAGTGACCCGGTGAAGCACTCGCTCTTTCAGGGACACTAGTACCCCAGTGAGCTGGAGGATCTGAGACTTTTCATGGTGAGGGTGTCAATAGAAAGGAGGCATCTGTGGGTCTGCAGGTACCCCGACCGCCTGGCCTGCGTGACGTCACTTCTATAGCTGTCTTGTTCCACCGTGACCTTAGCCTCAGGGCACTGGAAACCCTCTCCCTGCCCTTGGCTTCACTACCTTCTGCTCCTATAGACTCTGAAACGTGGAGAGGAAGAAATGCACAGAGTGTGGCCCAGGCCTGCTTCGTTTCCATGCAGAGCAGGACCTCTTGAAACCTGGAGTAGATAGGGGTTTCTGGGGCCACCTGTTGGGCCAGGACCTTGAGCACAGCTTCCTTCCCAGTTCCCAGTGGCAACTCCTCTGGGGTTCAGTGAAGAAGGGGCAATGTTAGTGGCACCTGGGACTCTTAGGCTGCAAGTAAATGGACACCAGGGGGAGCAAGGTGGCCTGGCCAGGAAAGAGCAAGGGCTGTTCTTGAGACAGTGGAGACAGGGCACCCTCATGGAAGAAATAATGCTGAGCTGCATTTACTGGACACCTGCTATGTGCTCTGCAATGAGCTAAGTGATTTACACATAGGTGGCTAATCTTCACATGTCACCGAACTAGGTATAATCAGCCCCATTTTACAAATGAGGAACTCAGGCTGAGAGATGAAATAACCAGCTCGAGGTGGCCTGGTCCCCGTCCCAGGGCTAGGGCCTCTTCAGTGGGTTAGGGTGCAGCTGCATCCTTGGGTGCCCAGATGGATCTGGCCTGGCCACACAAGTATCGGAAGGAACCCCATACTGGAAGGTTCCCCAGGCTCACCGCTGCCATTCTCTGCATGTGTACGTACACACACACAGAGGAGCGGATGCATGTACGTGCACACACATATATACGCATGCACGAGCACACTACACATGTCCGTATGCATGTACCTGACCACCTACACCTAGGTACATGCAGACGCACCTCAGGAGCCACACAGGCTGTGCGCGCACACACACCCCCACGTGCACACACACAGGGTGCATGCGCATACCTGAGCCCACACTCATATGCCTCCCAGGCATCTGTTCCATATAATTCAAGTTGACCCCCAGGCCCCAGGCCTTTTCCTTCAGGTTTTCTGGGGAAGAGAGTAATCACGTGACTCATTCTTGGCTGTGAAGAGGAGGGGAGGAGGGCAGTGCGGGGCCCATGCCAGAGGGTGGTCAGTTATTGGAGCTCTCAGCCAACAGGAGAGGGTTCCCGACAATGCTGTCCCCTTACCCCCACTCCGACTCACCTGCAGGCAGGCCACCCCGATGCCCACTGCCCCCATGAGCAGCAGGTGGTCGGCCAGGAACTGCTCCAACTTGGTGATGCAGCCTCCCTGGAAGGTAAAGGTAGATTATGCACACCTTGGTGGGGAGCAGGTGAGGATGCATCCAGCTAGCTGAGACACACAGGACCTGGCCTGGCCTTTGAATTACTCACAGGCTACTTGAGGTCCTCAAATCTCCCAGCAATAGCCTGGGGGCACTATGGAACCCTTTGAGGACCCAGAAGCTCCTGGCTCCACACATCTGCCTGAGCCTGCCTTTCCTGGGGGGCTCCTGGTGGGGATCACGTGGTCAGCCTGCCCAGCAGGGCACTCACCTCCACCTTGTAGATGTTGGAGGGGTGGGCTCGCAAGCCGCAGCGTGGCACCACTGTCTTGCAGCAGCTGTCGGGCACCCGGCGGCCCTGGGCCTCCCGCGAGAGGACGTACGTGCTGTGCTGCCAGTCAGCCGAGCTGTTGCTCCCGCAGCACTTGAACTGGAAGGGAGCAGAGGCGGGTGAGACGCAGCCAGGGCCTCCGCATTGCTCACACACCTCGTCCCTTTTCATTCTCTAGATGTTTCTGTCACCCTGTTCCAAGCAGGGGGCTGATGTCTCAGGCAGAATTTGCCTGCAGGGCACCTGTTCGCTACCTACTCTATTCACCCAGGTTGGTTAAGAAGAGGATGCTGGGAACAGGGGGCTGTGGACCGCTCAGGGGCCAGAGCCCAATCCATGAGCTGGGGCGTGGGCGCAGTTTCCTAGTCATCCTAGGGGGTGGCACCCACCCGCTGACAGCTGCTGAGTCTCCTCTTGGAAAGGAGAGACCCCCGTTCTGTGCCCAGCACTCAGCAGCGGTTAACTGCAATGCCTCTGCCTGGGACAGTTCACCTTTCTGGGGCCGCACCTCCCAGCTCCCGGGGGAGGAAGGCAGATGGAGTTCTCCTGAGGAGGCCAGCTTCCTGCCACAGGGCCCCCCACGGGGAAGGCAGCCAGGGTGGCTTGGAGGCGGTAGTTGGAGGGGTCTTGGTGGAAGTGAGGGAAGGGGGGGGAAGTAAAGACCTGCCCAGGTAGGTGCTTCAGCAGGTACTTCCCATGCGTGGAACTTGTATGTATGGATACAGATTTAGTGTTCTCTTGCTTCTGAGGCTTCATTTTAGCACGTGGCAAATGAAGCTCAGAGAAGGTAAGTAATTTTCCCTGGGTCACACAGGAAAAGGTCAGAGCCAGGATTTGAACCCATGTCTGGGTGGCCTGCCACCAGAGCGGAGGCTTACATCTTGCTGCAGACGGTCTACCGAGGCGGTGATCTTAGCTGCTCCGGGCTGCCCGTAGTTCTCAGCCAGAGTCTGGGTCAAGTGCAGCTTCAGTTCGTCACTCAGCTGAGGAGGGTAGAGAGGGAAGAGGTGTTGGGAGATCACCCCCACCCTCCTGGTCCCCAGTGCCACTCCCAGGCTTCTGCCCTGGCCGGGAGAGCGCGGGGTGGGGGGTAAGACGAGGGAATTGGAGGAGGACATGTCCACTCACCCTCTGGTAGTACACATGGGCCAAGACCCCTGCCACAAGCTCGACAAGGAAGATCACCAGCAGGAGGCAGAAATACTAGGAGCAAGAAGAGAGACAGTCGCACCGGGATTGAGGACTCCAGGCAGATGGCGTGTCAAGCCCTCTATGACAAATGTTTCCCCAAAGCAGTGTGGGAGTTGGGGCAGCCTGTGAGGGACCCATCACCCACACCATCTTCTCTTCCTAGCAGCTCTGGGCATGGCTGGCTGTGCTGGCTGCTGGCCTGGGGCTCCAGACTCCCGGATCTGGGTTCAATTGGTTAATCCACACCCCATCCAGTATTTACTGAATACCTATTACATGCCGGGCATCCTAAGACGGTTATTTTCTCAAAGCTACTGGTGGTCAGGGGACAGGGAAGCGATTCCAATGCTGTGTCGTATATGCTGCTCCAGGACAAGCCCTTAGAACATTAGGAGGCCCCTGCTGGGGGAGAGCAGTCAGAGAAGGCTTCCTGGAGGAGGTGATATCTGAGTCATCTCTAGATGACTAGGAGTCTGCCAGGTACAGAGGAAGGCAGCATATTCCAGGGAAAGCCTGGAGACTGCAGAGAGCATGGGCTGCGTGAGTTCAGGATGTGGCTCTGGCAGGTGGGTGCAACAGCGACCAAGCTCAGGAAATGACACAGGCAGAGATACTGGGAAAGGCGCTGGAGTCTCTCAGTATTCATGGCCCTCCAGGGGGTTCAAACCCCCCCTCACCTTGGCCAGCTTCCCCCAGGCTCAGGGTTGCTCGGCCCCACAGCAGCTGGCCTGGCTGGGTTCCCGGCCGTGCGCTGGCCTGTGACCTGCTTCTCTCCCTTACGCCCACTCGATTCTACAGTCAGGAGGCTCCGGGACACTGCTGATCAATCCCATGTGTTCTTGTAGGAGCCAACGGGTCAGACATGCATGTCAGGCCCATGTGACTGGGAGGGGACAGGAAGAGGGAGCTGCTGCAGGCTAAGGCGGCCAAGGGATGGGGCAGGCAGGAGGGAAAGAGGCGGGCAGAGAAGAGAGGAGGGCGGAGGAACACAGTTACCTGGGAGTGTGCTCCTCTGGGCAAGTTCAGCCCCTACTCTTGGGCACTGATGGGGTGGCATCTTCCCCCACCCGAGCCCCGTCCATCCACCTGCTTGGTGGGGCTACAGGTTATTGCCGGATTGAGCAGAGTTCCAGTCCATGGGTACGCTCTGATGCTATCAAGTCGGGCAAGAAATGTGGGCAGAGGCCGTGTGACCTGGCCCGGCAGGGGGCTCTGGGGCCATTTCAGAGGCTGTGCCAGGTCAGGGGCTGTGGGCCTGCCCTGACCATCCCCAGCACCCTTAGCGGCAGGCCTGGCAAGGGAGGCAAGGGCCTCACAGAGAAAAGGACATTTCAGAGGGCCTCCCCTGGTGGCACAGCAGTTGAGCGCTGGGCTGCAAAGCTGCCCGCAGCCTCTGCAGCGCCGGTTCGATCCCCGGCTGCTCCCCGGCCACCGGAGGAGGGTCCCACATGGCGCGCAGACCTCTCCTGCCGCCCGCTGCTCCCCTCAGCAGTGTACTTCGGTCCTTCTGCCTGCTCTGCTCCCCGCTCTGGCTCTGGTGAATCCTCTCACCCTCCCGCGCTTCTGACTGTGCCCAGTGCATGTATAAACAAATAAATAAATCTTTAAAAAAAAAAAAAAAAAAGAAAGAAAAGGACATTTCAGAGAAAGAACTCTGACCTATGAGCAAGGCTTCCTTTCCGGTTAGCCAGAATCTTCCATCTGCCCTAGCCCTCTAGCTATTTATTGAGCCCCACTGTCCCCAGCCTTGACCCTGCCCCCCAGGGAAGCTTCCCAGGCTCTGAACATGGCGGCAGGCTTGCTCCCCCTCTTGTGGAGCCTGACAAGAGTACAAGTGGAGGTTCCTATGCCCCTTCTCTGCCCACCCCAGGCTCTATGCCACCCCAGGACAGGCCTCTGGCATGCAGTGAGACAACGCAGGTGAATGAGCCAATGTCCTGTTGGATGGGCTGAGCCGCAATGAGTGGGTCCTGCCTATCACCCTGTTTAGACAGCTTGGCCCACCAGACTGACCTCAGGCACACGCTGCGCCAAAGGCACCGCCTCACTGATGGCTGCTCTCCTGGAAGGGGGCTGGCCCGGGGGCCTGAGCCAGGGCAGGGTCTCATAATGCTAAAAGGCGTACCCCTGGGTGGAGACTTCACATGCTGATGAGACATGTGACATGGAGACGCATGCAGCTCTCCGACAGGGCTTCAGTGTGGCCAGCCCCTCTCATGCTGGAACTTCGCTCTCCTCTAGCCTGCCCTGGTGGACAAGTCCACCCCTCCAAGAGCCAGAATGGGACTTTCCTCTTCCAGGGCTGACTCCCTCTTGCACAAGTTTAATAAAACCTTGTCTAGATACCGGTTGTCCTGCCTTCTTGTTAAACTGTTTACTAGTGGCTGGAACCTCTGAGGTTCCCAAGCAGGCAATGGCCTGTTCAAGTTCCGTCCATCCCCAGAGTCACGTACTTCTTGGCCATCCAGAGGTGGATGTATAGGGGCTGGGTGTGGAGTATGGGGCACACTTGGTGGCTTCCAAGATCCTAGTCACATGGGATGAGGTCTAGGGGGGGAGAGGCACATTCTGTGGACCCCAGGGACATCTCACGCCATGGGGAGAGGTCTGGAGGAAGGAGGGCCAGTGTTTAGAGTGGGTCTGGGTACACCGAGGCAGGAGCTTGACCGAAGGTCTGAGGCTGGAGGCCTGAAGAGGCTGGAGAAGCATCTGTTGACTGGGGTTGAGTCCAGGCTCTGGCACTTGCTGGCTCTGGGTGGGTGGCTGCTGGCGCCGAGTTGGGAAGTGGAAACTGCCCTCCCATAGGAAAGATGGCTCAGTAGCTAGGGAGCCTTTCCTGGTTCCTTGGGCAGGACACAGCCTCCAGGGCTACCTACACAGTGGGCGGCTGTGCTTGCGGTATGGTGGCAGCATGGCCACCATCCGGGAGGACCCACAGAGATCTGGCCTGTTTCCTGTGCCTGCAGCTTAAGGGCCACAGTGCATGAGGAACAGATTGGCCAGCCAGGGGCCGGTGCAGCCAGCCCAGTCGGCCCAGGCTGGTTGCTGTCTCCTGGAAGCTGGAGTCCATCAGACATGACAGCTTGCAGCTGAGCACCAACAGCCATCCAGAGGGCCTGCAACCCCAGTGATGTGACATGTGGCCCTAAGGTCCCTCCCAGAACACACCTGCCCTGCTCTCCTGCCCCACTGAGTTTCTCTGAGGCGCTCTCATCCTGCCGCGCAGGACCCTACACGAGGCCAGCGTCCCCAGCTTCCGGTGCACCCTGGGTGGACAGGGAAGAAGAGATGACGGAGCTTGTCACTGAGCCAGAGGAACAGGCAGTGGGGAGGGAGGCAGCTTGGCATCCTGCCGCCTTCCTGCAGGGGGCGGGAGAGCCTTCTCTCTATGGTGCTGTCCCTGGAGGCACAGCCCTGAAGGTGGCTGTGCCCTTCTGCCCCCTGGGGCGTCACTGCCAGGATTTGCCACTGAAGCCTGGCTGGGGAAGAGGGATGATGGCCGGGGGAGCGATGGAAGCACATCTCAGGATTAATGGCAGCCTAATTTAGCACATGCCTGCCCTGCGCAAATGTTCCGAGCTATCAGACAGGCCAGCCATGCTACCGGAGCTGTCAGAGGGAAGATCCTCCCGAGAAGCAGTGGGCTGAGGGAGTATGCTCCTCCCACCGGCAGACCTCCAGCTGCAAAGATGCCCTGGGAAGAAGTGGGGACCAGACTGGGGCTCTGGGGTGCTGAGGGTGGGGTTTCAGGGAGCACGTGCACCGGCTCCCATGGCAGCTTTGGTGGAGAGCGCTGCAGGTACGTGACTGGCCTGGGCAGGGTCCCTGCCTCATGGGTCTGGCATGACAGCCCCTGGGAGGCAGGCAAAGGGCTGTGCTCACCGGGATCCTCCCTCACCAGGGGCCGCGCAGCCCACATCTGTAGCAGGCTGGCTAATGCCCGGGCAAGCAAGCCAAGCCTGGGCTTTTCCCATGTGAGACCATGAGCTCTAACCCTCTGAGCCTCAACTTCGCCCCACTGCCCTGTACTCCGCCAAGCCTCTCCTGACTCCGCCGTCTAACCACGGCAGCTCAGGACCCCTCCTGCACTGGCGGGCCGGCTGTGCAAATCTGCAGCGTCCCCTCGGTTCCTGCACATGCAACTGCAAGAGACCAGCCTTCCAGCCCTGTGCCTTTGCCCCACTAGAGCACCAGGGATTCCTGCTCTGCACCCAGCTCCATCATGCCGGCACTGGGTTGTCTCTGGGTTGTCAATGGTTGCCACCACCCCTTCCTGACATCTAGGTGCTTCCTAAGGCCTCTGTCTTCCGGCACAGACACTTTCCTCTTTGCTGCTTCTCTCAACGAGACCCCCGGTGTCTCCCTGTCCTTCCCTGCTGACCACAGTGCTCCTCACACGGCAGCCAGCAGGCCTCACACCTGCCCTGTGCAGTTCTGCTCCAGCAGCACTGCTCTATCTGCTCAGAACGCCAGCCAGGCACTGGGCCTGCATATGTACTCGGCAAATGCCCGGGGTTAAGTGGTGTGAGTGCTTTCCCACACAGTCTGCCTCCAGCCAAGGGAACAGACCAAGCATGCCAGCCCCAACTTGGGGGCAGCAGCTTAATCTTACTTGGATCAGTGCTACTCCAATTTATACCAGTGATTCTCAACCTGGCATGACTTGGCCCCCAGGGATGCCGGCAATGTCTGCAGATATTTCTGTTACAGCGACAACTGGTAAAGGGGGTGCTACTGGCATTGAGTGTGCAGACCTGGGCCAGGGAGGCTGCTGAATGCCCTCCAGTGCATAGGACAAAATCATCCGGCCTGAGATGTCAATGGCACTGAGGTTGAGAAACTGATGGATGGATTTACTTTTAGATTTTAAGGTTGATACTGGGACTTGATTTGCCCACATGTGCTGATGTGCCATGGGAGACACAAAAAAGATCTGAGGAGTGTTATCTAGTTCCCAGGATGCGTGAAACTGGGCACAGAAGCATGTGAGGGGCTTGACGCTGCACTGCCTG